TACCCAGTACAACCTGCTACATGGACAGGTGGTTGATGTCTAAACTAGATACCCCACTAGTTTTGTGCTGGTGAGGAGGGTGACATGGTATCCCCCAGGACAAAAAACAAGACCTGTCAAAGAGTGGATGAGTTTCTTAAAGAAGTCAACTGCCTATATATATATATATATATATATATATATATATATACACATGGTTAGGATAGGGGGCTCAAGCTTCAAGTCTAGGTAAATTTCCTAGAGATGGTATCTTGATAAAAACACTTGTACTTGGATGACCTGTCTGAGTTGGGTGTCAGGAAGAGCATCCAGCCTTATAAAACCTTATCTCAAATCATTTGACAAATCTTTTGTTAGGCAGATCCTACTTTTCTTTGTGTGAGATTAATCCTGGTCCTGCTGCAACAAAAACACAGTTATGTATATATATATAGATTATTTCTTTTATATAATTTAAGTGCCTTGATTGTCTAGATTCAGATAGTGTAGGATTGTATAGAGATGATGGATTATTAGTTGTTAAAAAACTCGACTAAAATTAAGGTAGACCGTATTAGGAAAATGATCTATAGGGTATTTAAGGATTTAGGTCTTAGGACAATAGTTACTACTAATGTTAGACAAGTGGATTTTCTAGATGTCACCCTATATCTTGCTAACAACATTTTCCAACCATATGTGAAGGTTAATTCCAACCCAATATACGTGCATCCTAATTCCAACCATCCCCCTTCAGTTATCAAACATATACCCTCTTCCACTGAATTTAGAATTAGCGCTAACTCTTATAATAAGGAGGTTTTTAATAAACATAGTGATTTTTACAATTCTGCACTAAAAAATACAAAAATACCATTATTGGATACAAAAATACCACTATTCAATATAAAAACCCTGTTAATTGCAACCATAATAAGAAAAGAAGATCTAGAAAGATTATTTGGTTCACTCCCCCTTTCAATATAATGGTTAAAACTAAATTAGGGCATATATTTCTAAACCTCATCAAAAAACATTTCCCCAACCCTGAAACTAACCCACTTAGTAAAATATTTAATCCTAATACCCTTAAATTAAGCTATAGTTGTGCTGATAACCTGGAGAAGATAATTAAAAAACATAACAACATAGTCTTTAACAAGTATAGGAATTCAAAAGGCTTGACTACTCAACAGGTTACTAACTGCAATACTAAATATAATAATACAAATAACAACTTATGTAATTGTAGGAATCTGAATAATTGTCCACTACAAAATAACTGTGGGATTACTTCTGTAGTCTATCTTAGTACTATTTCAACAATTGAAAATCCAAATATAAAGAAGTTTTACATTGGTTCTACCATGAAAACATTCAAGGAACGCTGGTGGGGGCATATGCAATCCTTTAATCACAGTGAATATAGGTACATGACTTCATTATCCAAGTATTTTTGGAATCTAAAAGATAAGAACAAAACACCTACGGTTAAATGGAGTTTGGTTAAGAAAACTCGGACATGTAACTCCCTATATGCCCCATGTTACCTATGCCTTAATGAAAAATTTGAAATTATTAGATTTAAAAACAAGGCTGATCTCTTAAATCAAAGATATGAACTTACAGTTAATTGTAAACACCGTTATAAATTTAGCTTAGTGTAGGGTTCGTATACTTTAAATGATAATGATATGTCGCTGTATTTTTAATAGATTAGTATTTTTATTGCATGATGGTCATACTTACGATATAAATGTGTACTGTTTACCTGCATAGTGTTATTAGTGTTGGTGTATATGTGTATATATTTATTTATGTGTTGGTTTGAGTATTCGCACTGAGGAATGTGTAGGTTTGAGTATAAGTGTATTTATATGTTTTTTTTTATATATATGTGTGTGTGTGTGTGTGGGTGTGTGTGTGTATATATGTGTGTGTGTGTGTGTATATATATATATATATATATATATATATATATATAATGTGGGAAGGTATGGTAGATTAGAAGAGAAAAGGTTAATAATTGTTGATGTATATGTGTATGTCTATATATGTATGTGTGTATGTGTGTGTGTATGTATGTATATATATATGTATAAATGTAAATATATATATATGTATGTATGTCTATATATATATATATATATATGTGTGTATATATATATGTGTGTGTATGTGTGTATATGTATGTATGTGTGTGTATGTGTATATATATATATATATATAATATGTATATGTGTATGTATGATAACATCACGGCGGTATAATGGTAGGCAAACATGGTTCGCTAGATCAATTGCGACTGAGTAATGAGCTCGTTCCTCACTGGGTGCCCCCTAATTTCGGCTTTGTGCCACGATATATTTGTATATATATGTATGTGTGTGTGTATGTGTGTATATATGTATCTGTGTGTGTATATATGTATATATCTGTATGTGTCCTATTTTATTGTGTATGTATATTTATATTTAAGTATATTTCTGTTTGTATGAATGTGTTTATATATTTGTATGTTAGGCTATATGTATATTGCTGTGTGCTGATATTTGAATGTATATTTATGTATCTATATGTTAGTACGTTTATATATGTATTTGGTTGAGTGTTGTTGTATTTTTATGTATGCATGTATATATTGGTAGTTGTTATTGTAGATTGATATATTTATATATATGTTTATTTGTAGATATGTATGTATGTATGTATATATATTTTTGTATGTTTGTGTATGTATATATGTGTGTGTTGGCACCTATTATGTATGAGTTTGTTTGTGTGTATGTGTGGGTATGGAAACATTGGTATATCATGACTGTTTTTATATATGTAAGTATGTGTGCATAAAAATCTGTGTATATATGTGTGTATTTAGGTTTATATGTATATGTGTGTGCATGTGCACTTGTTATCATAGATATGTATATGTGCGTATATGTTTATGTTTATATATTTATTTGTATGTATTTCTGTGTGTATATGTATGTATGAGTGTATGTTTATGTGTGTTAATTTGTGTTTTCTGTCATGTATATATATATATATATATATATATATATATATATATATATATATATATATGTATCTATGGGTTTCTTTATCCTGTTTTTCTTTTAATAATATATAATGAAACTATTATCAACTTATATGATTAATATATATTTTATTGATATTTATGGTTTTGGAATTTTCGTTTTAATATATTAAATATTATTTTTAACCATTTTTATCTTTGTATATTTGCTCCCTTAAGTTATAATTTAATAAGTGGTTAGCATTTATTTAATGATACTTTTAAGTCTGAAATATTTATTGGTTGTGGTATCTGATTGTCTATGTCATTGTCTGTGGATGTATGTATGTGTATCTATCGGTGTCTATGTGTATGTAGAGTGTATTCACATTTAACTGTGTGTGTATAAGTGTTGGTTTCCATGTCTCCTTTTTTCATAAAGGGCTGTAGAGATGTTCATTTTGTGTGTGTGTGTGTGTGTGTGTGTGTGTGTGTGTATATCTAATTATGTCTGGGTGCTTATGTATTATAATCTGATTGTGTTTTTTGTTGTTTTGACGCGTGAGTTTAAGACCACATTCACACACTTTAAAATAAAAAAAGGAAAAGAAAGGGAAAAAAAAAAATATATATACATGTATTGTCAAATGACCGGATATATTGTAGCGTCTTGTCGAACGTAATTTCAATGAAGAAATGAATTGAATAAACATATATATTTTTTTTTCTCATTAATTTTGTAGTTTTTAAACTTAATAGTGATTAAATTTGGATTTTAAAATTGCCAGTTTTTAATTTTAATATTAAATTTTATCATATAATTTTATAATTATTGGTTAGTATAAATTATTTTTAATATTACACGTATTTTAAAGATCTGAATAGCTATTATAACATGATTTCGTTGTCAAGCTTTTGAATCTTTATATACTTGGTTTTTGATTGGTTATTCTAGCTTTTGTAACAATGTTTCCCCCTAGTGTAGAATCGTTAATTAATCTGAAACTTTTAAAACCATTTATTTTATTTTCAACATCATCACTTGATAAGACACAGAGTGTGTTGAAACAAAATGGCTATTTTTGTAGTGATTTTATAACATACTTATGTTATAATTTTTTTATAAAAAATAATTATATATATATATATATATATATATATATATTCACAATCCTCACACTTGCTCCATATGTGGCCTCCTTTGTAAATCACTAGCAGGTCTTAAATGCCATTTAAGATTATCATATAAACTTTCATAACTGAATCAATAAGCTGTCAGATCCTTATACGTCGAAACCGACAGGAGAGTCCATTATTATATATATGATACATATATATGCACACACAGAGACCAAAAATAATCCTACACAATTCATTTTATGAAGTCACTTGACTATTTAAAATTACCTTCTTGGTCAACTGTTTGGTATTACTTAGATTATTTTAGTTGAGCTGTCTCATTTTTTGTATTTATTGCTTCAGTTTTGACTAACTAATCACTTTGTTTCCTTTTATGCTAAATAATAAGCATTTCAGTTCCTTTAACACATGCCACTCTGCTTACAAACATTTTTTTTTATTTCTTTAATGATTCTTTAGTTTAAAGGTTGTGAAAAAATGAAAAAGATTTGTTAATACCTGTATGAATAACAATGAATTTAAATTTTCATCATTTATGTTACCATTAATACCATTATGAAAGAATTCTAATATGAAAAACTCATTTAAAAATTTAGATAAAATATATACATTAAATCTTTTACAATTATGTAATTGTGTTATTAAAGTTTGTGTTTTTGAAAAGAAAGAAAAAATTGGAAAAAATAAAGAGAAAAGAAGTATTGAATATTTCAATTGCTTATTGATAATGAGTTTAAAAAACAAATTTTTCTTCTCACATTTAGAAATATTCCCTTTTTTTTGCCAAATTTCATAAATCTAAGTTAGCAAATTTTTTAAATAAAGGAAATAAAAAGAAAATAAGAAAAAATATCAAGTATCTCACCTGTACAAGAGATTTAATTGATGGCTGGAAGACCAAGTTGTGATTTAAGAGAAATGAACGGAGTAATGGGTGTGGGTAGGTTGCAAGACGAGAAATTAGTCCAGTCAACAGAAAATTAACATGGAGGGAATTTTGAATCATGCTTTCTAACTTTGATAATAAGGCTGATAAGAGAGGACCTGAAAAAGATAAAAATATATATATATAATTCTTCAATAGCAAAACATTTCCTACAACAAATTATAAATACTAAGAACAACTCTCCCTGAATTATAATTTTCTGGATTATTTACTTTCGTTAACTTTACATCATTATTGTTTTTAATACATTCTGGCTAAGATACACTTCAATCTACTTAGTGCTTTTTCTTTAAATATTAATAAATACTAATAACTTTTATTTTATTCCAATCAATACATCAAAATATAAAGAATTTGTCAGATTTCTATATCCTCAACATGAACAACTATCATAGTTATTAACACATATTTATATTTGACCTTTACTGTGGTCACATAATATCCAAAATTGCCTACGAATCATGGCTAAAATAATATAGAGATTCAAAGTTAGGAATAAAAGCAAAAAACAACCAAATAGTAATAGGAACACCAATATTACCAAATTAACAATGTACTGTGGATTAAGAACAATGATAAAAAGACAGTTCTTTAATGGTTAATACCATGAGTGCGTGTCTGTGGGTAGCAGTCAAATATTATCTATATAGATGCACTCACACACATTTTATATATATATATATATATATATATATATATATATATATATATATTTTTTAAGCATTTTGCCCCAAGAAAGGCAGGAGTGCCACTGGTATACAAGGGGTTACAGAAAACTAAGGGAAAAGACTGAATATAGTGGGATGATGAGGAAAGGATAAAAAGAAGAATGGAGAAGGATAAAAAGAAGAATGGGGATCAAGGCATCAGAAAATGTCGATTGACATTACATTTAAATTTTTTTAACATTATAGTTATCAGGCAAGCAAGTAAGAGGAAGGGAGTTCCACTATTGGGAAGTGTGGGAGAAGAAGCTGTTGGAGTAGAAGAGGCAGTTACAATTAACTGTTTTGACAGTAAAAGGGTGGGACCAAGAAGCCAACCTAGTAGCACACTTAAATTCATGCAGTCATGGCACCAGTGAAAATAGCTTATCAGAACAGATTTCATGAAAATATTTATAAAAAAGACAGAGGGAAGCCACATTATGTTGGTGAGAAAATGACCAAGTCAGGACCGATCACATATCCATCTTTGAACAAATGGTAGATTTGTAGATGTAAAGGATGGACTCAGACAAGAAAAACCTTCTGATATGACATTGAGAACCAACTTTCCTTGCAGTAAATGCAGCTATTGATTCAATGTAGTTGTTGCACCTCAGGTCAGGAGAAAACATGAGATAAAGAAGGTACAGTGAGGCACCATCAACCATGCTTATAGGAGCCTGTTATTTTAGATTGAAAGATAATTGTGCAGCGTACTTTGTGAGTTTTTTTATAATAAAGCATTGAAGTAGTCATTCTAAAAGCATCACACAAAGAGACTGTCAGGTCAAAAGCATGGTCGAGTATTTTAATTGACGTTCTGATTTTTAAAGTTAAAAGATCTACATGTTATTTTTATTTTTACTTATATTTTTTCTCACTTTTTAATACTACTGTTTCCTGCTCTGATTCAACTCTAACTATTAACACTTATATATATATATATATATATATATATATATATATATATATATATATATATATATATATATATATATATATATATATACAAATATAGGTAACTATACTCATTTCGAAAAACCTTCGAATTTTTGATTTGCCAATAATCAAATCAATCTTGAGGGAAAAAAAGGTTTTAAAAAAAGAAAGAGCTAGAAACATGAAAGTCTGTCGAAAAAAAAATCGCATAGATACAGGTTTGAAGCCCAAAGAAAAAAAAAACCCATCACGGTAAACAACTAACTAACAAAAGAGCTCGATACAATCAATAGAGCAGACCTAGCTAGCTTTCCTGACGATCTGCTTACATGAAACCTGGGTAGGTTTGTCTGGCTCACTAGGTTTATATATATATATATATATATATATATATATATATATATATATATATATATAAAACTCAAATTCATGAGACTTTTTAAAAAGATGGAGTAAAACTCAAAATTTGCATAATATTTTTACTATAATAGTTTTTTTTTGTATTTTACAAAGCTAGAGCAAAATTTTGTTTCAATATTTTTACTATAATAGTTTATAATAAAAACATTTTACATTTAACAACAAAGCTTATTCAAATGTTTCAATTTTCGATTGTAAATTCATCAAAAATATTTTTACATATACTAAAAAAAATATTTTTATTTAAAAAATTAAATAAATTGTTTTTTATAAATTCAATATTTTGTTGCTATGTAATTTAATTATTTTTTAAAAAAATAATTAAATTACATAGCAACAAAATATTGAATTTATATAACAATAATAATTTTCCTAAATAAATCATTTTTTTATCACAAGTTAAATGTCAGAATTAATTTCAATGAATTCCTATACTAAATGGAAAAGGTCTTCGAAGACAGAAATAATTGTAATTTGATATTGTGGATTTTTATCCATCTATCACCAACGACAATATGAAAATACAGTAAATTGTAAACATATTAAAAAAATTAACCTTACAATCTTACTAAACTTCATAAGTCAATAATCACTCCTCTTTTGTTATATTATCTTTATATAGACATTTTAATGTTATCATCAGTGATTTATTCTAGCCTTAAGTATTGGTTAGTTTCATAAATTACTAGTAGTATGCTTAGCCATGAATTGGCTTATTATTTTTTTATTTTTCTCTTGCTGTATTGATAATAGTTTCTAATTTAAAATTAATATAAAAATATTAAAAGATTAAAATTCATTTTATATTCTAATTTATAATGTAATGTTGGTTTTGTTAAGTATTGTATTGCTTCTTAAAGTGTCCTTTATTTATGTTCTGTGGATAATTTTGTTTGAATATGTGATTTCATAAAAAATGCCATAAAATTTTAAATGTGCCACTGTTAACCAATGTATCTATAGCCATTTCATTTCCGTTCAAATTTGATTTCTCTTATTCAATATAATTTCATTGACTTAATTCATATCAACATTTTCTCATGTTATTTTCTTAACTTTCCTCTTCTTTGTATCTGCGTAATTTTTAATATACTCTTCTCTTTTTTTTGACTTTCTTTTTTTGTCTATTATCTTGGTAGTAGGGTTTATTTCTTATGTTTTCTTTTGCCTTTCTTTTCTTTCCTCTTCCTTTTGTTGATTTATTTTCTTTCCCTTTTTCTTTATAAAAATCCTTTTTACCTTCTATGGAAAATTTTCCAAAAATGGAAAATGAAGTGATATTTCATAAATTGTAATTTTAAATAAGATCATTTATTACCATCATTGTTAATTACCCGAGGAGACACTTTATTTAAACATTGAAACAAAATGTACAGTTTTGTAGTAATTATTTACCTTGTAACAGTGTATAATAAATATATATATATATATATTATTTAGACACACACACATATATATATATATATATATATATATATATATATATATATATATAGACACACACACACATATATATATATATATATATATATATAGACACACACACACATATATATATATATATATATAGACACACACACACACACATATATATAGACACACACACACATATATATATATATAGACACACACACATATATATATATAGACACACACACACATATATATATATGTATATATATATATATTATACTAGCCGAGGTACCCGCATTGCCCAAGTGTACATAGCTGCAATTGTATAACCCCCACCCACCTGTGTACCCACACCCCCCATCTATAAATGTCTGCCTGTGTTCCCGCTTGCATGCATCAACCATTGGTATACTAAGCTACTACCCCACCTCATGTTTTTTACAGTATGTCCTTTGCAAGTGTTTGATTGATCTTAATAATGGAATTCCATCAATAAAACCTTCTTGTGGAGTCACTGCTTGGGGTTTAATTGTTTCAATATTTTAGATATTCAGTAAATTTCCTAAAGCTCTAATAACTTTCAAATAGTATGGCATTGTTCACAAATCTAACAATCAAACAAAAACAGGGATGAAGCAACTGTAAGTGCAAACGCATACCACCCCCACCTCCTTACTCATATGTTTACTGTAAAGCTGGGGTTAATAAGAGGTTCTTTGGGAATTTGTTTATTTTAATGTTTCAATAATTCTTCTCAAACAATCTTTGCATCAAAGGTTATTCAAATACCAATTTAGAATGGAATCATATGAAGAAACTATTGGCTAAATAGCAAACACTGATTTTGGATCTAGTTTGTCACAGATTTTGTCCACTTAACTAAAATAATCTAAACTAAACATTCACACAAGAAAATTTGTGTGTCATAGGTAATTTACATGACAAATTTGGAAAGCATTGGATGAAAAATGAGGGAGTTATGGTCAAAACACTGGCTTTTAAGTCAGCAAAATTTTTTAGACATGTTTGAAGAAAATCAGAAAAAAAAATGAGGAAGTTATTCAAGTTTTTATTTTAAGTAGTATGAAAAACGAATTTTTTCAGTTTTTTGCAATTTTTCATGTGAAGTCAATGTCACAGGAAAACTATCAAGCACTCTACATAAAACTTGTAACATGAGCCATGTTTTGCATTAAGTGCAAAGAACATCAGCTCATCCAGTAAAAATTTTGCCTATGTTTTTGCAAAAAGTTATATCCACCTTCAGTTTTATTGATTTTTCTACCAAACTCAAAGGGCTTGGAGATTGAAAAGTTGGTCTTGACCTATCTTTCTAAATTAGCAACATATGTGTACAATTTCATTAAAATTGATCAAGAAATGTGGATGTGCATAAATAGCAAACACATACAGACACGCACACAGACATCTTTTGTTTTATAGATATATACACACACACATATTATATAGACACACACATAGGCACACACACATACACATATATATATATTATTTATGAATGTGTAGGTGGTGTAATGGATAGTATTTTAAAGTGAGAAATCAATGAGCCAAGTTTGAATTCCACTTGGGTTCATTAGATTCACTTAAACACGAATCTGCCTGAAAAAAGTATGAGCCCATCTCCACCCCACAGCTAAGGGTTAAATAGTAGGGCTTGTTACTGGAAATATCATTGTTATTCTCAAAAATAATTGTTAATGCAATATTCATTTGATAAAAAAAAGTTTTCTTCTTAGAATCCCAAAAATGTTTCAGCTGTAAATAATCCACAAAGAATTAAGTTGTAAAAAAAAGACAAACACATACACACCCAGATAGATAGATATCAGGGTTTTTTTTTTAAATTTGGGTCTCAGTGGTAATGTGTATTTACATATGAATAGCCACAGTCATATATATATATCAGCTATCTTTTACAAGCCAAAGTTTTCCCAAGTCTTTCAGATATAAGGAGTAATGGGTTTTCTCTATAGCATACTAGCCCATAAACCAGAATTATCTGTCTCCTAAACTGGCTGGCTATCCTCCCATGACTAATCTACAAAAAGCTCCAGCAAAATACTTGTTTGAATTCATATTATTATGACTACTGCTGCTGGTTAACATCAAAGCAACATTAAGAAAAATAAACAAGTGTATGAGAGCAAGAACATTATTTGTCACTCAGCAGGTTTGTGGACAATATGGCACATATGTGCGCACATATGTATGCATAGATTATGCCAGTTCAACATCTGTATGTCCTCATACATACTTAAGGTATCAATATCCAGTTATAAACACAGGATCAGTGTGAAAAAATTATATATAAGAGAATTTTGATAATTTTTATTTTAAAATGTTTCATCAAGCAAACAACTGAATGCACGAAAATATGAATAAATAAGTTTTTCAAATCATCATATACTTATCATTCCATCAGATTTTAATTATATATATATATATATATATATATATATATATATATATTAAAATTTCTAAAGACTTAATGGATTTTTTATCCAACATTTTTATTACTTCAGATATTATACTGAATATTTGTATTTGAAATAGATACCCCATTTTTATTTTTACTTTAAATGATGTTATATCTCTTGACCTGCACACTCAATAAATCTCAATAAAAAAAATACACTCCCCTGAAAGAATCAAACCTGTGTCCCCCTTTGTAGGAAAAACTACCATTTGATCCTACAAACTGTCAGTTCTATGCCTCAAGTGAGATTCAAACTGACAGTCACAATGCAGTGTTGATTTTAATGTTCACACTGTCTTTTGTGCATGTGTAATGGTATTCTTGCTTACCTCCCATTTCTGTAGATTGTGAATATATGAAAAGTTTTCATACCTACGCAATCAAGTTTTAAACTGGAGAGAAATTGAAAAAAAAACTTGTTCAACTGTTGAACAAATCTTGGGATATGTTTCTGTCTTTTTTAATTGAGTTCAAAGTGATTTTCTGCCTAGTAAATAATGCATTGTGGATCAATTCTCTGATAATCATGGAGGGTTCGGAGAAAACAATGATACAACAGACATGTTCTTCATTCTAAGACAAATCCAGTAAAATAAACAGATTATTTGACACCTTAAAGACATTTGACACCATAATCAAACAGAATCTTTGTATAGTTCTAAGGAAAGTAGGCTGCCTTCCCAAATTTCTCAGTATACTTATTCAGTCAGAATAGAGGTGGAAAGTCCACAAGTCCTTTCCCCATCAAAAAATCAGAATAAAATATACCTATATTTTTATCGCACACTTTTCTCAATATTCTTCAGTAAAATGCTTGAAACTGACCTCAAAGATAAATGGCGTTGAAAATGTACATCCATAAAGATCCAAATTGTTTACAAGATCACACCAAGAAAACAATACAAAAATGAAAGAACTTCTATTCACAGATGACACATCTCTATCCACTCAAAGACATACTTATAACAAATAACATCCTACTTAGCTTAAAAAGTCAGAATAAAAAAAACTATCATCTTCTAACAATTTGCACCTCATCAAATGTACAACCAAGCTGAATGCAATTAGAAACTTTACCTACCTGTGTTATACCTGCAGACAATGAACAAAACAAAAACATTGGCCACAGACTGGCTAAAGTAAACCAAGCCATAGAAGATTCACAAGCATGACTGAATCTAAGACAATAATGGTCTATAAAGTCATCATACTGCCAACTCATATCTGGTGCTGAATTTTGGGTTATATATGTCACCTGGATTGTTTCACCAGCACAATCTTCACAAAGGACACTTGGGCAATTACACCACAAAAACAAAACTCATTTAAATGAAATCAACTTAATTAGCTCAGATCAAGGAATTGGAGAGCCAAGTTTGAATTCCGGTTGAGTTCATTGCATTCACTTACATGCTAATACTTTTGAAAAAGGTATGAATCCATCTCTTCTTTCCCCTTCCAGCTATGGATAAATATGGATGGCAACCAATCTAGGGAAAGGAAAACTCTGAATTCAAACCACTTGTAGCTCATGCCTCTTTAGCTCAAAGGCTAGAAGAAGGTAATTTCAAAAGCAAATCAGCCACATATCATCTTGGAACTGCTCCCTCCCTACTTCATGCCATAACAACAAATAATGGATTCCTCAGTCTTCATACAATTGTTCAAACAAACACAAAACTAGAACACAGCACAGCACCATGGACATCATTGATTTTGGCCCATTCTTGGAAAACCTAGTGGAGTGGTTTCTTGTTGCTTTCTCCACTGTTTGAAATATAGAGTTGTCCTTCTCTTAGACTAGTTGCTACCCAAAGCTAGAAAACCCAGTCTATCATAGCTGAGGGGACAAGATATGGATACATGCCTTTCCCAAATGAGAAAGTGAATGCAATAAACTTGCCCAGAATTTAAATTCAATATACTAATTCTGCTTCCCATGCTATTATCCATTACATTACCCATGCAGGTTTGCTATAATAAGGTAACAAATAAATTCTCTATATTCATGATTCCCTGACTATCAGCTTATAGGGAAAATTTTTAATATAAGTTTCTTATTTAAGGTAAGTTTTATACTTCATATGGTGTTTACTTACCATAATTAGTAGTTCCATTAGCATTCTTATTAGCTTTTATATATGAGGTATATTATAATGATTTCTTAGCAAAAATCTGTAGTTATCCAATATACAAGATTATTTTAAGCATTCTTATATAAAGCATTTTAATAAGGCTTTTACACTACTTCATATATGAAGTCAAATATATATAGATATTTTAATTTAAGAAAAGATTATTTCATCTATAATTACTTACCAATATTGGGTGGTCCACTCACATACTTGGAGGCACTTATTCCATTTGGTGAAGGTGTTGCAGTTGTTTCCAAAGCATTACTTTTCTTTCCAAAATCAAACATATGCAAGGAATTATTCGTATTGGTAATTGTCTGTAAAGGGTTATGCTCTGAAGATGTCTGTCCAGTTTGTTGAGGTAGAGTAGTTAAGGTCTTGCATGCACTCATCTCAAATGGGATTCCATTTAACTGGGACATTGTTATATCTGCAGACTCCTGGGAGAGCACAGTCGATGTTGAAGAAATATCCATAGATGATGTCACTGTCTGCTGACCATCCTCATCCTCTAAACCTAACTTCTTGTCGTTTTCCTCTGAGTTGATGTTGGCAGTGGCATCTTCATCCACAGGTGGTGCTGGTGATGGATTGTCGATACTAATGTCTATAGATGATTCTGAACAGGTGCTTGTAATCAGGTCTTTACTCCCAACTGATGCAGCTGTTTTTACTTGACCCGCATTACTGTGTATACCATGTGAAAAACGAAGACTTGTTGAACCAGAAAAGAGGTTATCAATAAATGTAAAAATTTCATCACTTTTTTCATTCTCCACAACTCCAATATCCACACAATCAAGAAACTTCAAAAATGAATCCATATCATCACAAGTTAAAAGAAGGCTATATAATTGATTTATTGCTGTATAAGTGTTAAGAGCTTCCAGAGAGTAACTATTTTCAGGGTTTTCTGTGGTAGACAATGGTGTGGAGCCTACTGTTTTACCAATTACTGGATCCAGAGGTGTGGACGAAGATACTTGACTGAGTGGATGGTCAATAATGTCTACAGAATCATTAACTTCAGAATGTTCCTTGTCACTAGCAAGTCTAACAGAACCACTCAAAGAATTGCCATGGGATAGTAATTTCAAACTGTTATCCTTTGTCGTTCCTTCAGATTGTTCAAGCTTTGTCTCAGGACAAATAGTTTTATCTACAGCAGTTCCATTAGAGTTTCCAGAAAGGGTCTTTTTTGGTGTAAGGAAATTCAAAGAGTTTAAACTTGATGAGGATGGCTTTTCCCCATCATAAGGTGCTGACCAGTTCCGACATCCATTACAACACTTTCTCAGATTTTTATGAGCATCATTTAGATATTCTAAGTAACTTGTTTCAAGATCTTCGATATTTCCACTAAAGGGTCCCGGAATGCCAGAACTGCTGGATTCATTTACACTTATACTCCTGTATTTCAGGGAGAAAGAAAAAGATAAAAATAAATCATTTAAATATTGTATTTAAATACAAAAATTGTTTAAAGTTAAAAAAAACCCTTTATAGACATATATATGAAAGAATGTTTTATATATATATATATAAAAAATAGATACTGATATCAGAATCGAGCTATGGCAGTCTGTTTCATGTTAGAACACAATCTTCATCAGATTATGACCTGAAACTATGTTGTACTCAGTCTCCACTTTTATATTTACATACATTCTTTCCCTGATATTCAACTCTTTTATCCATAAATATAGCATACCTTAAAACTATACTTTTTATCAGACATAAAATATGGATTGAAGTCCAACAGAATTATAGGATAAGGAACAAATAGGAAATGTTTATAAATATAACATATTTTGCTTTCATTAAAGCTTTATCAGGTAATAAAATATGGATGAGGAAAAGAAAATTCTGTTATTTTTAATTATTAATTATGAAAAACAAACAATACAAAAATTAAAATGTCAAAATTTTCTTTTTTCTCATCCATATTTTATTCCCTGATGAAGCTTTAATGAAAACAAACATATATATATATATATATATATATATATATATATATATATATATATATATTCATAATTATATATATATATATATATATATATATATATATAATAATATATATATATATATTATATTCATGATTATGTGTGTGTGTATATATATATATATATATATTTTATGAAATGGACAAAGTTCAACAATTATTTTAATATATTTTATTGTTATAAATTATTTATATAGACACAAATATTTAAGTAAATGCTCTGTTTATGATAAACAGTAATATTAATAGTATTAGGAGGCACAGTGGAATAATGGATAGTGACTCAGATTGAGGAACAGAATGTCTGAGAAATTTTCATAGAAAATATGTGTCCTCTAACAGGAATTCAACCTGTATTCTACATGGAACTGTCATACAGGCCTGATGTGCTATATCAGTTTAGCTACAGAGGTTATAATTGTTTGAGGGAAATCATGGAAAAATGTAGTTTAAAAGCAGTAAAATCATCCTTGCTAACTAGCTATAAGATGGTTCTGTGTAGGATACAGGTTTGATTCCTGTTGGAGGACACATATTTTCTATGAAAATTTCTCAGACGTTCAGGCCAGTAAATGTTGCTAATACTGTTTATTATAAAGCAGAACATTTAATTAAATATTTGTGTCTATATAAATAATATATAGAAAAAATTTCTTTGATTAATGAATTATTACAAGATTTTTTTCATTTTTTTAAAATATTAATTAAAATAATTTATAAAGATTTTAAATATTTAAAATTCAGTTTCAAAGGCGTAATGGTTAGGAATATTGTTAAGTAAAACTATATTTACTAATAATAAATCATAAAGCTTATTACAATTTACCGACCCTCGGTATTTCAAAAAAAAAATTTAAAACTGATTTTGTGTGAATAAATGTGCCAATTTTTGCAGATATGGCTGTTCATACACAATATTATCAGAAAATAAGAGCAGCAACTTTAGTAAATTAAAGTCAAAGTATCTAAAATTCAATAAAACATTAGATTACAGAGAATATTTTCCTAAATTTTTAAGATTACTGAGTACTTAAAAATTATATTTAAAAAGTACTCATGTTATATTCTACAATTATTTTTATAGTGGATAAAGCCCCCCACCCCACCTTCCTGTAAAACAACATTAGATAAACATCCATTATCAAGCACTCAACACATCAACAGATTAAAGTAAATGATCTGTTAAAAAAAAGCATTTCTGTGATATTTTGAACTTAAAGTAAATAATGTTTGTTTCAAATCAGATTAATTATTACATCAGCTAATATTCCTCAAATAAAATTTAAGAAAAATATATTTTATTTTTGAAAGATGTTTTAATTAAGAGAATTACTCTCTGATGATAGGTAACTAAAAATGGTGTTAAAATAAAAAATTTCAGCAATTTCTAAACAAAAACTCATTCCAATCAATTTAAATTAGTTTAATTTAAATTTTGGTTATTGGAAATATTAAATTTAATTTATTAGCTTGAAATTAAAAGTAAAACAAAAGCATCAAGAAAGATTTTCATTTTTTTTAAATTAATTTCAAACTTTAGGTATCATGAATATGTGGAGGCACTTAATATAATGTGTGTATGTGTAAGTGAAGTGGACACAGAGTTCAACACTGATTGCATTCATGCATAAAAAAGACTGTCATCATTTGGTACTGAACTCTATCCACACTGCTTATATTTACATACACTCTATTGCAGAGGGCTTTTACCCTATGAATATCGTATACCCCAAAACTATATATATATATATATATATATATATATATACGCACACACAATCTTTATAGAGAGCTCAGTTATTGTGCCATGTTCTAGGTTTATTAAATATAAACGATACCAGCCATAGAATAATATTTAACAAGTTACTTTTATATTACTTGTGTAGTAGGTTTAATCATATATGTGGCACAACTCCAAAGAAAGCTAAGCTTAGTGAATATCTACATGTGTTGATGGGTATATCAGGTGGGCAAGTGTAAAACTATAAATGTGTATGTTTAAGGTTTTACATAAGCAGCCATCATTAATGGTTTCTTTATTTGTCTAATATCTTCAAAATAAAAAGCAAACATTGATGCATACATGAAATGAGTTTACATTATATTGTTATACTGCCATAATAATCAAAACTATCATTTAAAAATGAATACATAATGAAGTACATGAAGAGCAACTTAATAAATAACATTCAAACATGTATTGAATATATACATAAATACTAATAGACACCAATATTATCCCATTCTATAATGAAAAAAAATATCTTGTGCGTCTTATTTGCATATAATATTAATTATGAAAAAAAAGATGACATGTCAAGCTGAAATTAAAATGGAATTTTTAAGACAAACTGATAAACCAGTTTATACATTACTGGATCAATTTTTAAACATTGTAATTCTAAAAGGGTGTTGGTTGACAGACAATATTCTTGCAAGTTTTATAATCTTTGAAATGAGCAAATTGACCTCTATACAAATGACAAAGACAATGTTCTGGTACACTTTTTATAATTGGTCAGACTTTTTCTGATATTTAGCTTAATTTTTTAAAAAGTCATATTATAAAAAAAGAGCATACATTAAGCCATTTTCAAAATTTTTTTCTTATTTCACAAAAAAATAAGTTTACCCTCTTAAAATCACACTGACAATATGTAACATGAAAATATATCAGTTTATAAATTTTAATAAGCCTTTTATATTTTATTTTAAATTTTAAAAAGAAAATTATATATCTATTCTAAGAGGCTTTTTCCATGTAAAATAAATTTTTTCTTTTACCCAGAAGCACATATAGCATGACATATAATTGACATGCAATATAAAAATGATGATATATTTATGTAATTTTGCAATTCCATTGTATTTATATATTAAAAGATTTATATTGCCCCTTTATTTTCTTGTTTAGTTCAATATTTAGAAATTATTTAAAATAAAATAAAATTAAAAATAATATAATTAGTATAAACTATCTTCTCTCTTCCTGAATTCTGTTCTTTGTCTTTTCTCCTTACTAAAGTCTTTTCATTCTCTTTCCTTTCCCTCTACATCTTAGTGACATTGTTTTCTTTCTTTGGGTGAAATGATGAAAAAAAAAATTTAATATATATTTAAATTTTATTTTAAAAGTGTTAAATGCAATTTAAGAGTTCTTTTAACATCATTTCAGGTATAAACATGTTTCAGTATTTCTGGTATGGATATTCCACTACTACATGAGGATGTCAAATTCACCCATCTTTATGTAGCGCACACTTCTACGGATGTAGAAAAGCATTATACACATGCACATCAGGGCAGCTCAATTTGAAAGTTGGCATAATAAATCATGACACAAAATATTTTTTCCAAATCAATACTGTTTTTTCAGAAAATGTGTTTAAAGATTAAGTTTAAATTTAAAATTGTAGCATTACAATTTCATTCTGGTGATCAGTGAAAATCTTATAGCACAGGCTTATAAAATTTATAATTTACTAAACCTTTATAAATTGTATATGGACAAGATCATTGGCACAAGGACATTACAATCATTGTGCCATCAAATACAACCTTCACTTACTTCAAAGAAAAATTATACTGAACAATTTAGATATATTATGATGTAGTTTTAGTACGAGTTTCAATAAACAATGCAGTAGTTTTAGTACGAGTTTCAATAAACAATGCAAACATTTTGTCTTATAATTTCTGCCCAGCAATATTAGTGTTATATACAGTTTTATCTGTTTTTTTTTGTGTTTATTAATTATGATCTGACAAATCTTATTCTTTTTTGTAATCTTTTACAATATTTTAACATAGTTTTTATTT